TAGATAACTTTCAAACATAATAAAAAATAAAAGAAGGAAAAACATAAAATTGAAGTCAAGTAAGATATAAAAGATTGCAATTATAAATGAATGCCAGATTTGCAAAAACAATTCATAAATACTAACTTTTCTAAATAAAGTGTATAAATTGAAATTAATAAATATATAAGAATCAATATCAGAACCAACTTATGAAAGCTTACATTGAGAAATGAGTTTCTCTCTTTTTGTTGATTAACAAACAATAGACCCTATTCCAAAATAGTCTACAAAAAATATATATGGCAAATATCAAGAAAAAAGCACATGAAAATAATTCAGAGACAGGCATTAACTAACAAACATGCATAATAAGACACAAAGCTGCCAAAGTTAGAAAAATTAGGACTGAAAATATAAAGTAATAAAGTTCACAAAACATAAAAAAGAAAAGTAGTATATATATATATATATATTCACATCTACATGCGTATAAATGTTTAGTAAAAAAAAAATAAGATAGATTGATTATATATAATATTCAAATAGACTGTGCTAATATGTAGAAGAAATGATATAATTGCATACAAGATTACATTATAAAACAATCAAGTGAAAGTAAATTACCAATGCATAATAAAATCAATTGAAAATATATGTACATTTTGCAAATGTGCTTTCATAAATCTCTAGCAACGTTGCCTTCAAGTTAAGAGAAAACATAAGGTAAGAAAAAAGATATTTGAAGACCACCTTCAAGACAAAACAAAAGACAATTCTAAAAGGAAAAGCTTATCAAAATAATATCTAATAAAGTTAAACTACAATGAAACTAAATTGGTAAAATTAAAAAAAATCATCTCAACAAAAGCAATAACCAGTCAAAATGCCAACAGATCATAAAATCTCAGCACAAATCCCAAAAAAGTTCCTCCATTTGAATCTAATAAATAAACCTTTACACGTAATTATACAAATTTATTAATAGCTCATTTTGAAAGCCTAAATCAAGATTCATAGGCATCTTAGTAATTAAATTAGTGAATTTTAACGAATGGTGTCTCAGTGTAGTCAAAATAATAAAAAAATCAAAGTAGAAAAAATGGGTTTTTTTTGTAGTTTTGTGTAAACAGTATATTGTTTACAAACATTAAAAAAAAACTCAAAATTCATGGACAGATAATGCTACTAATATATTCTTTTCTAAATCAATACAGCAAACCTAAACGAGAATCAAACATATATATCATAATTTAAAACAGAAATGATAAATCCTTTATAGTTAACTGTCTTTAACAAGATTATAACAAACTATATTCTAAGCTAGTCAATCATAATAAAAAATTTAGGTTTGATTGAACAATGTGTATATAGTTGAAGACATATATGTAATTGATAATAAATTGCAAACCATATTTAACAGCATTACCCTAAAACAAATTGGAGGAACAACAACCTTTTTATATAATTTCATGAGCAACATGCGCATTAAAAAATTGCAAAAACAAACCTAAAAAAGAGCCTTAATATTTTTGGTATTGCTGATAGCATAGCTTGCCTGTTAATTTCTTAATAATCATTAATATACAAATCAAATAAAATTACATCAACCAAACAGAATACAACTAATAAAAAAAACCCTAAACAAACAAGAAAAAATGAAAATAGAAGCAAAAATAAAAATACTAAAAGTAAGACGCATTGCAGAAAACTTATGGAGGAAATAAGCAAAACCAACAATCTACCAACATAACAATGAACAGAAAGGAAAGCTCTCTGATCAAAACAAACCTAAAACAGAACTTTAACACCATACCCAACATATAAAACTACAACAAACCAAAAGAAAATTCCACTAAATAAACATATTACAATAAATTAGAGAAATCAATTGGAACACATTACAGTAAACGATTGCAGTTTGGTTTCTTGTTGATTCAACCTCTACAAATTGACAAAGAACATCTAATGAAATAATTAACCAAAAGCAATGTTAGCCAATAATATTTTTAATAAAAAATCGATATTAATTTTTAGAAGCATAATTTCAAGCACGGTACAAAAAACAATACTTTAATGAAAATGAAGAAAGGTTTTTAAGAATTCTACTAGTTTACACTTATAAATGCATTTATAAATGCATCCATTTACCTAATTGTATTGAGTTAACAATGTTTGCATTGTCATGGGATAGTCAAATTTTATGAAGAGTAAACATCCTTCTCATAACTAAAGGAAGATAAGGTTGTACTTAAGCTCATTAATATTGTTCAATGACCAAATTCTTCCTTTAACAGGAAAGGAAAACGGATTTTCGTCTAAACAAAATTCAACCATCAATAACAATACAAAACATTGCTGTTCTAAGCCAATAGAAAAAAATGCTAACATGAATTCGTCACAAATATTAAGTAGCAAGAATGATCCAAGGGTAAAATAAAAGAACAAAATGCTTTTTAAAAATAAAAAAAAAACATGTTGCTCACAAAAGTTTATGACAAAAAATGTGACATTTTTTTTTAAAAAAAGAGACATATAATAGCATAAAATTGTAAAAAATTATAAAGAACAAAAACACTATACATATCAAAAACCTATTTCTTTACAAAACATTATGACAAAAAATGTCAAGATTTAAAAAAAATAGTAATTATATATTAAGGATCAAATAACAACAGCACAAAAAGTAGTAAAATAACTATGAAGACATTCATCTAGTTATATTAAGTTAACAATGATTGCACTATCATTAAATGGTCTAAATTTCAGCTGGAGGAAACATTCTTCTCATTACTAAAGGAAGAGTAAGTTGTACTATAGCTTATCGATCTTGTTTGATGACCTATCCTTCTTTTAACAGTGAGAAGGATTTTATTATAGCTAAAATTGGACCATCAACAATAACACAAAATGTTACTGCTCTAAGCCAACAAAAGAATCAAATGTGATAAATGAAAGAACACTTTTCATTTCATAAGAACATATATAGCTTTAAAACATAATAAGAAAACCATAAAGAAAAGTATAAAATTAAAGTCAAGCAAGTTATGATACATTACAATTACAAATGAATGCCTGATCTGCAAAAACAAATCATAAATATCAGCATTTCTAAATAAAATGTATAAAACTGAAATTGATAAACATAAAAGAATCAATAACAAAACCAGGTTATGAAACTTTACATTGACAAGTGATTCTCTCTTTTTTTGTTGATTAACAGACAACAGATCCTATTCCAAAATAATTTGCAAAAAAAAAAATACATATGGAAAACATCAAGGAAAGAACACATGGAAATAATAAAGCTACTAAAGATAGAAAAATTAGGACATGAAAATAGAGTAATGAAGGTCCCAAAACTTAAAAAAAATGTGTAGCATATATATGTATATATATATATATATATATATATATATATACACAGACATGCATATAAATGTTTAGTGAAATAGAAATAAGACAAATTGACGATATATAATATTCAAATAGACTATGCTAACATTTAGAAGAAATGATATAACTACATGCAATACTATATTATAAAACAATCAAGTGAAAGAAAATTATCAAAAAATGATAAAATCAATTTAAGATGTATGTGCATTTTGCAAATGTCGTTCCATAAATCTTTAGCAACATTACGCCAAGTTAGAAGATAACAAAGAGTAAGAATAAAACACAATAGAAAACCACCTTTAAGACAGAGCAAAGGACAATCTTCAAAGGAAAAACTACCCAAAATAATATCTAATAATGTTAAACTACAATGAAACTAAATTGGTAAAATTAATAAAATCATTTCAACAAATGCAATAACCAGTTTATAAATCTCAAATAACAAATACCTAAATCGTAATAGATCATAAAATCTCAGCACAAACCTAAAAACTTCGTCCATCTGAACCTAATAAATAAACCTTAAAACATAATTACACAATTTACTAATAGCTTATTTTGAAAGCCTAACTCAAACTCAAAATGAAAACGAAAAGGCTAAGTAATATCCAACAATTCACCTGCATTACAAAAATAAAGGAAAAACACAAAAACCAAATAAAAAGCCACAATAAGGCAAAAAAAAATAAACCCAGAAAACAATAGGAAATTTGCATTACAATGAAGTGTAAAAAAAATCAAATCTAAATCTATAATCAGAGCACCCAAATCAAATAAATTAAATTGAGAGAAAAATCAAAATAGCCAACTTGAATCCAAAACCAAATAAAAAATTGAAAAACCCTAATACAAAATAAATCAAAAGAAATTATAACGCACTCAAAACCAAAACTAAACAGGAAAACGAAACTATGAAACCCAAATACAAAACCAATAGATAATCTGAAACTAGTAAAAAAATGAAAAACTCTAAATCCAAAATGATCAAAACAAAATACAATCCACCAAAAAACCATACCAATCAGAAAGAAAGAAAAAAAGGGAGCAAAGATGAAAACACTGTAAGCACTAGATGGTGTAAGAAACTTTTAGAGAAAATGTAAAATCCCAACCGAGTTAATAATATGAAGGAAATAAACAGATGAAAGACATGTAAAAGAAAATAAGGCATCAAGCACTAAAAAATTAGACAATCAATTTCAAGCCACACATGTAAGGCTTCACTTTCCCAATGAAAAAACAATCAAGCATAGTATAGCCATCAAAAAATCACAAAAATGACTCATGAGAAACCAATGTAAAATCGCATAGTGTTTTCCCATTGCTTGAAACAAAGAATGGTGAAAGCATTCTTTAAATAACTACTGAATCCATGGAGGGATGCTAAAAGAATGGAAAGCTAGTCAAAGAATCATCGGAATACCCATAAATCCATGGAGGGATGTTGAAAGAATGGAAAGCTAGTCAAAGAATCATCGGAATAACTAATGGATACTTAGATTGAAGCCTGCTTTGG